ATTTTTATTTTAAAAAATAAATTAGTTTTAATGAATAATTAACAATACAATAGCTAGTAAAAACAGATAAATCAATTTAAATTGTATAAGCGTATATTCTTTTACTAAGAAATTCTACTTGTAGGAACATGTCCTATGAAATTACAAACCTAAGAGTACCAAGATGTATGAACAAGGAAATTTATTCCAGCATTATTTGTAACTGCAAAAAATTGGAAGCAACTTAAATGTACATCAATGGTGGGTGAGTTAAATAAATTATAGTACATCTGTACAGTAGGCTATAAAACCCACCCACTGCCATCGAGTCAATTCTGACTCATAGCAACCTTATAGGGCCAAATAGAATTGCCCCATAGTCTTTCCAAAGCTATAAATCTTCATGGAAGCAGACTGCCTCATCTTTCCCCCATAGAGCTGCTGGTGGGTTTGAATGGCCAAAAAAATGGATGAGGTGAATCTAAATGAATTGACACGCCCATGAAAACATTAAGTTAAAATAAATACATTTGTAGAAAAATATGTATTTACGTGTACCTTATTTTTGTTTTCTTAAACTACACACACATACACACATTTATATTTATTAATCCACAGGGAAAAAAATCTAATAAAATAGACACCTTTGTAGAGAGGATGGAGGGTATATTTTACTTTACATTTTATACATGGCTGTATTGTTTGAGTCTATTTTATTCACAACCATGATAGGCTGCATTTGCAGTTTTTAAAAATAAAAGATGCTTTAAACACAACTCCAAAACTAAGTTACTAATGATTTACTGGTTGAAGCACTTGGTTGCTAACCAAAAGGTTTGCAGCTTGAACCCATCAGTTGCTCTATGGGAAAAAGATGTGGTCGTCTGCTTCAGTAAAGATTTACAGCCTTGAAAATCCTATGTGGCAGTTCTACTCCGTCCTATAAGGTCGTTAGGAGTCAGAATTGACTCCATGGCAGTGGGTTCAGGATTTTTGGTAAATATTCCCAAGACATCTCCAACTACAGTGAATACTTGTTTATTAAACCCAAGTGGGGTTCATTTTTCAGAAACGGTTCCCCAAAAGCCTTGTTCTCATGAATCTCCTCACTTATCAACCTAGTTAGGTCCCAATGATAATGTTGTTATGCAAAAGTGGAGGCTGACCACATCAGATCACAACATGGAGGATGTCTACATCATTACAGAACTGCCAAATTACATCATTTCCTAACTGCCAAACCACTGAGAATCACAGCCCAGCCCATCACAGCCAGCGTTACTCTCACCTGGCATCTCAGCATTTGTTATTGCCAGAAGTACAGCGTTAATGCGCAAAATCATTGAATAGTAGCTTTTTTGCTATTGTAATTGTGCAATGTCAGATAACAAGAAAGTCGATAAGTGAGGAGTAAGTGTATATATGTGTGTGTAAATAAGTTTGTTGAGATTTGTAACCTAGCAATGTGCTCAATAAAATGCATTTTTAAGGGTCTTAATTCCTTTGGACCATAAATACCAATTTATTAGGCAAAAACTGAAGCTAGACATGTTTAATCACTCATGTTTATTCATGTAGTTGCCTCCTTTTTCTAGCTGTCATACAGCAAAGATAGAGGTAGGAGAATTTCTTTGGTGTTACAGCTTCCTCAATGGTGAGCAGTGTCAGCAACTGGTAACCTAATTTCTCCAGGTGGGTTATCAGCACCAGAAATTGCCTTCAAAAGAAGCTTCTGAAACAGTGGTTCATAACCTTTTTAGGGCCACAGACTCTCTTGAGTTAGTCCTGCTTGGTGTGGGCATGAAAAGAACGTGGACTTTGCAGCCAGACAAATCTTTGTTCAAATCCCAGCTTCACTGTTTATTGGATGAGACCTGAGGCAATTAACTTAACTTCTTTGAGTCTGTCTTCCCTTATCTATAAAATGCCTGGCACAGTGGTAAGAATTTAGTAAAAGGCAGCAATTATCTTAGTGGCTTTTCCATTATTATTTTAGAACGTGCTAGTAAGTAAAGTCTTGGTCCTCAGGGGAAAAAAATCACCTTGTATTTTTAGGGTGCATAAAATGTCAAGGGCTCACCAACTCTTTGAAAGACATTCTGGATCCCAGGCTAGGAACCTCTCTCTGGCCTAAGGTTTAGAAAGAACACTTGAAGAGACCTGAGCAGTAGTGATAGTATTTTCTACCCTTTCTGCTTTACTGTCTGTTTTAGATTACGCTTTCTTTGTTTGTGTGGAGGATTAATTGTGTATTATGTCTATTAGAACTTGATCAGACCAAAAAGCTGGATTTTACATCAAAAACATGTACAAAAGAGCAAAATAAATGAAGGTTGACTGGCAAGTATCAGTTAGATTTACCAGCTAAGTGATTAAGAGAGACCATGGCCATTAGCTGGCCAGATTGTGTTCTCAAAGATTACTGCTAAGCATATGGATTCAATAGGACCATACTTCTGATTCCTGATATCAAAGACAAAGTTTCTTTAGACTGCTTTGGGTAAGCTGCTCAAGTTTAACCTACTAGTCCCTAGTTCAGTTTTGTAATCAGAGCTGGCTAGGACTATTCTCTTTTATTCTAAGGTTTCAGAATAGAAAAGAACACAATGCCTTCAGGTAGTTGCACAAGGAATAGCTTTCCACTTCCTTTGCATTGGTCTAAACTCAAGGAAACACATAAATCCCCTGGAAAGTGCTTCTGCCATTAACTCAAACAGCATCCAGACTTGATGAAAACATATCCCCATAGTCCGTGAGAGCCCTATGAAGCACACATCTAGCTATCATGCCCCCCCAAAAAAAAACTCCATAAGAGTTGTAAATAAGACTTGTCTATAACTAGGTGCACATTTCAGAAAATGAGAAAATAACCCTATCCTGATGCTGTTATCAGTGGTGTTAACCACACTTTAGGACTACTGCTGATGATGGTGGAGAGGATTGAAGGGGAGGGGAGGATGGGATTTCACAGAGAAAAACAACCCTATATTTCCTTTTTGAAATGGGATAAAGAGGAAAAATATACATGTAATTCCAAGAAGCCAGTATTCCTACAAGAACTCAATTTAAACAGTTCTCAACATTATCATTGCTCCAAAAATATTGAATTAGTTTTAAAATATCATTATCCACTAAAAGGAACCAAGGAGCCTTAGTAAAATGGTCGATTCTCAGGCTGAGCAGGAAAAATACAAGATGAGCCTGGAACATCCAGTGCTAAAAGTAAGGACGTGCTCAAAAAATGGTGAGACTTGTCTTAGGTTGGATCCTTTAGCATAGTAAAAAGTTTCTTTAGACTGAGTCGGGTGAGCTGTTCAGGGTTAACCTACTGGTCCCCAGTGAAGCATATATAGAGAGACAGAGGGAGAGAAGGAGGGATTTATTTCAAGGAAATGGCTGATGCAGTTGTGGAGGCTGGCAAGTCCCAAATCCGTGGGTCAGGCGTCAGGATGGAGGCTCTTCCTGACACATGGTTGCAGAGGCTGACGATCCTAAAACCTGCAGGTCAGACAGTAGGCTGCAGACTCATGTCCCAAGAACCAGAGGTCAGAGAATGAAGAGTCACATGAAGGATCAAGAGAGGGCAAGCTTGCCAGAACATCCATATATATTTGATGCAGGTGACACCCCTAAGGAAAGTGTGTTTTCAACTGACTGGCAGTTCACATGAGATTACAAAATAGAGGATGATTACATAATATCCACCAAACCACTCAGAAGCATGGCCTAGCCAGGTTGACACATAACCTTAACCATCACAGGAACACCTCAAAAGGACAAGGAGTCAGCTCGAAGAGCTCCCATTGGCCAAATCTAGGTCAACTTGAGCATTAAAATAAATGATAGTAACAGATTGTAACCCATTGAATAAAACAAGCATCCATGAGTTCATACTGGTATAAACAAACACAAGAATAACTGAATGAGTAGATGTGGAGGAAGAGCAAGTTCTTTCTCATAGCATAATGCCAACTCTAAGAAAAGTAGAAAGAATGATGGTATTCTAAAAATCAACATTTGGCAACCATTATAGTTATAAGATTCAGACAAGAATCAGTAGTGGAAGCAAAACTATTGGGTGAAAGTTTGATGAACAGGATACTTACATAGCCTTAAAATAACTCCCCAGAAATTACTTAATAATTGCAAAAGAAAAACTAGTAACTTTTCAGTGGAGAAATCTGGCAGACATCATCAGAATCAAGTGATCAAACTTATCATCACCAGGAATGAGACAAATTGGCGAACTCAGCATCACTTCTGTGGTATTCTTGTCAAAAATGCATAACCTGAATCTAATCACAAGGTAATATCAGACAAAGCCAAGTTCAGGGGTGTTCCACAAAATAAAAGAACTGTACGATAAAAATGTCTGGTCTAAAGAGATATGATAACTAAGTGCAATGTGTGATTTTAAATGGGATCATGGACCAAGGGGAAAATTGGAAATTATTTGGACAATTGGCTAAATTTGAATATGGGCTATGGATTAGATATCGTATCAATGGCAAACTTTCTGATTTTGATAATTGTACTGTGGTTATATAAGAAAATGTCCTTATTCTTAGGAAACACACGTTGAGATATTTAGGGGTAACAAAGCATCATGTCTGCAACTTACTCTCAAATGATTCAGAAACAAACTGTGTGTATGTGTGCACACAAATGTGTGTGTTTGGAGGAGGGATACAGGGAAGGAAGGAGAGAGATAGAGACAGAGAAGATAATAAAGAACATGGGCAAATGGTAACAGCTGGTGAATCTGGGGAGAGTATATGGAAGCTCTTTTTCTTATTCTTGAAATCTTTCTGTAAGTTTGAAATTATATCAAAATAAAAGGTAAAAGAAAATAATATTTGCTCTACATTAAAAAGTAGATTACAAAACTGTGGCAACTTTGAGACCCTCTGAGGAAAACAGAGCCTTGGTCTAGAAAAGGGTTATTGAAGTAGCAAGCAGAGGAGTACTGGACCAATGCAGCCCTTAAAATTACTAAGGAAGAAAATTCCTAAGTTACTCACAGCAGCGCAGTCTCTTGTCAACAGTTGGGATTATCTTGTTGAGGAGCCAAGCATCTTCTTTCCAGCTAACTACATTTCCATCTAAACATTTCGTAAGTTCCTCATTCTCCAGGATATGGTTCCACAGTTGAAAGTAGTACAGACTGCCGATGAAGCCAGGCACCACACGTTTAGCCTGGCTGGTCCCCTTCTTAGGAAAGTGTCCTAAGACTAAAGTCCCATTAGATGTCAGGTTTTGTGGTTGATCCATCATTACCAGTAGCCTTTCTTTATTCAGGAAGAGCTCTAACCTGCCCTTCACACCATCCCATATCAAGCATATCGTATGCCACTGAAAGGGAGTCAGGTGGTAACGGATATAAAAGGTCTTGCCCAAGTTGTGTAGTATTAGCTGCTGGTGGTCTCCTGCAAGTCCAAGGTCTATGTCTTCTTTGCCCAGGAAGGTATTATTAATAATGTAGGAGAAGGCTATCCAATCACTTGCTTTGCCATCCATGAAGACCAAGTCAATGCATGCCGTAAATCGGCTGAGTTCAGGAATGGTGTTGTTCAGTCTTACATACATGTCATCTCTTCCATAAAAATCCAGTTTTTTTCCTCTCAGTGAAAGTGTATCTGTCCAAATTTGAGGAAAGAAAGAAAAAGCAAATTGAAATTTTAGTTTAAAAAATGCTATCATCTTTGGTTATATAGTCAAATCCAGATTATAGCATACTACTTTGAGTCAATACTGGTGCAAATAAGGCAAAATAGTAGATATACAAAAATCGCCTCTAGTTGACATTGGCATGTGATTTTTTTTTTTTTTTTTTTTTGCAGAAGAGCTTCTTCCTAATTATATTTTGCTTGGGCCAGTATGAAAAGTTAGATTAGTGTTCCCAGATCACATACCAGCTGGACAGTTTGGAGAGGCAGTCAGAAATGTGTGGCTAGCAGAGGAAAGGTAAACAAAAGGTGACTGGGACTTAAAATTTGTCGCACGTAATCCTTACTCATACGATCAAAAGACAACTATTTCCATTCACCTAACTACCTTATTATATTCATGGTGCAAGAGCATTTTATTTCTTCAATGCCTTTTCCTGAGCCAAAATATCTGATTTAGTCTGTCCCTTGAGAGTGCTTCTCACTGAAAGGCATTGGCAGAGACCTGAAGAATGACCAACTGGACATCTATTTGGACTCAGGAATGGAAGATGGACTACTCTGAGTGTATCCTGACTTCCCTCCTTGCCTGTCCTCATAAAGGGGGCTATGGCAGCTTTCAGGGGCTCTTTATAGCCATAGGCCCAGATAATGTTGGCTCTGGAGTCAGTCTGGGTTGGAATCCTAGTTCTGACACTCATCAGTTGAGTGACTTTTGAGCAAGTAACTTAACCTCCAGATGCCTCAATATTTGCTCCAGTAAAATGAGGCTTCTGAATCACGGTGCTATATTACCATTGTGCAGACTGTGTACAGCACATCTCCAGGGGGCACCATTCACATTATAATATATGCTAGATAATAACCCTTATCTATTGGCCTTAAAAGATTGAAGATTAAATGAGACACTGTATGTAAAGCCCTTTCAAGCGTTACTGATGGGCAAGTCCATTGGTACAGGCTTTTGGTGGGCAATTTGGTAATATCTATGAAAATTTAAACTGGGCGTGCCCTTTGTCTCTTAGGAAGCTGTTGATGAATGATGACACTATCACCACCACAAATCTCACACCCTAGGCCACTAGGCAAATATCTGAAAGCCTATGGCCAACATAGTTCCAGTCCCAGCACACACCAAGTCAAACAAAAAAGGGCCTTATGGAAGTTCGAGTGGAAGTCTAACCTTTGTCTGAATTAGGGTTTTAACATTGGGACTGCCACTCTAACAGTGACAGCCATAGCAGCACCCTTGAGAGGCTGGCAGGAGGTAACCCTTTCCCTCCTTCTGGAAGTGGTCTCAAATGAAAGCTTTCAGATATTCTCTGGCCTACATCATTTTCTCCCTCCATTCTTCCACTGAATACCCCACAAAATCCAACAAGTACATGTCTATTCGCACACATACTCATACATGCATGCTTACATACACCCACTTGCCTGCACACACACCCACGTGAGGGAATTCATACCACCCATCTGCCAGGGTACTATTTCTGAACTGTCCATGGTGGATGAGCATAAGCTTATTTCTGTCCCTGGCTTATCTGATTATCTTATACCTTTCATGATAATAATATCAAGAACTAATAAATTCTTTATTTTGGGTAATAAATCAATAATTCATCCCACAAGATGAAAATTACTATGAAACACCTCGATTATGGTTGATTAACACTGCTTTTCTGTTTAGCCCTCCAAAATGACATGAAATACAACGTTTAAGAATCGGTTTTATGATAAGCATAAACCTCCAGGGTTTGAGTATCCCTTAAAAGAGAATGTCTCGGGGCGGTTCTGTCAAGATGGCGGACTAGGCAGACAGACTGCACAGACCCTCTTCAACAAAGAAAAGGGAAACCAATTAACACAGACACAGAAGATAATCCTGGACCCCTGAGCCTTGAAGGAAAGGATAT